ATTTATACTAGAATGTGGTAGGTGGGATGGATGACGTGACTGACTCTGAATGGCTGGCCCCTTTGCCACTTGCTACACCCATTCTTCAACTTGAGTGCCCATACTTTAGCATTAAATGTGCCCCTGCCACTTGCAAGGCTTCTCGATCGATACTTTTAGGTTGATGCGATTAGCAGCCAAGAGTGATGTTTGTTATCTGTCAAGTATGGGTTCTTACCCGTTCGGGAACTACCGAACGGTTCATGCTAAGTGGGTGAGAACCTGTCCAGGACCCCAATGGTCTGCCTGATATTTATTGGGCTTTGTTGCTTCTTTTGGGCTTTAGGGATATTTTGGACCAGGTAATTGGGCATGACTCTAATATCCCAACAACAACCAATAGTAATGTGGACCGTGGAGTATATATCATGAAGGTTTATTCAAATAGGACCTAAAGTTTGAAATTCCATAAATAAGATTTCCTAATTCTCATTGGAGAATAATATCCTCATAGGGTTGGAGCATTGCTTTCCTAGGTCACTGGATTGCCACCAGAGAGCCTACTACTTGTCGTCGCAAATATTCCGCCTTCTGTCGCTGCTGATGTGGTGCCGGAATGTCGCCACTGCCACCATCTAATTGATCCATCACCAAGGAAATGACCTTAGTTATGTAAACGACTAGAGTACAATTAATATATTAGAGGTAAAAATGTAATGTTTAGTCCTATTTGAGTAAAACAAAATATATGATCTTATTTTTACAAGATATCTTTTTTATGTATTCCTATTATGAGAAATTTCCTCTATACATAAAATATTTCTTGTGTCACCAAGATGTTTGTCATCATTTTCTATAAATTCAAATTTCCTAATTGAAATCCTGTCGTATGGTAGATACCTTGTGAGGTTGGAAGGTGGGATGAAAAGGAATACGCTTTGAGATAGATGAAAAACCGGACCATAAAATCTCCTATCGTTGATTTTTTTGAACGGTTCAAAAAAGCTAGGTAGTGAGACATTACTACTAAAGTAAACAAGAGACAATGGATCTGACCTAAACTTATGAAGTGTTTGCAAGAACATAAAAAGTGATTTTAAGCTTTTGGTTATAAAAAACAAAAATGAGTGTTTTCAAGCGACAACTACTACATAAAACATTTAAACGCTAGAAGCACATGAAAGGTTAATGCATATCGTTTTTCACGTTTTCTACTACACAAAAAACACATTTTTATCAAACATTATTGATTTTTACTTTTTCAAAAACTTCTATTGTCAGTTGCATAAATGTACTAAAAATATTTAAATTTGTCCTTTTATAATTTTTTGAGGCCAAAGTTAGAATTAAAACAATGTAAAACTAAGCCTTCACATTTTTAAAATATATGTTAAAAATCTTCTAAACAATAAAATTAAATACTTTTGAATAACATGACAAAAAATTAGAAGAAATCTATTAGCTTGGGTTGTTTTGAATTCAAACAGAAGTTGTTATCATCGGTAATGGACTAAAATCAAAATTGACATAAATTGCAGGAACGAAAAACAAAAAAAAAATACATTCCTTACTGAAAAATAATTTTGAAAGGATGTCAAATAAAATGTAGTATATTTAGAGAGACTAAAAACATATTTAAACTTTAGTATTAAACATTTTTTCCAAAATTACTCTAAAAAGACATTTATCTATACATAAAAGCAATGGTGAGGAAGCGGTCCAGTCCAGGTGGTCACCCACTCACTCTCCCTTACGGGAGGTTTCGGGTTCGAAACTCATTAGAGTGATTTTCAGCCTAGATTATTCCAGGCTCCTCCAGCCCCTCCAGACGCCCCCGGAGTAAAAAAAAAGCAATAGTAAACTATGAAGCACGGATACTTCCCTAGGGTAGCGTATCGGCGTATCTGATACGTTCCTGTATCCGACACTCTAGGATACCCGTACTGTACGTTCCCGGGCCGTATCTGCAATTTTTAAAAGTTTCCATTTTTTTTTGTAATTTTTTGAAAGTTTCCGATACTCGTATCCCGACGAATACCCGTATCAACTTTTTTTTAAAAAAATCCCAAAATTTACTTAATAAAATTCTAAAAAAAAAATGAAAATCTAAAACTACATTTTACTTGGTAATCAAATAATGGGCCTATATGGCTATATCCGAATTAATTAAGTCATTAACTCATACTCCGAATTGGGTACGTACTTGCACTTTTAATTTCAAGATTGTAGTTGTTTGACTTATTTCTCATTTTAAATTAATGACTTATTGACTAAATTTATATTTCGAGATGCACTAGTGTATATGAGAAATATTATGAATTTATTACTAAGTATCTTGAAAAAGGAAAACGCTTCAATGCAATGAATGGGTAGACATCATAGGATATTATATGTATATATATAAAAAAAAATCTATTTTTAATATTTATAAATAGACCCCTATAACTTTTAATATTTGTAAATACACCCCCATAACTTTTAATATTTATAAATATGGCCCCGTATCCTTATCCACTTTTTTGGGTTTTGAAGTATCCAGTATCCGTTTCCAAATTTCCGCTAATCCGTATCGGTGCTACCGTAAACGCTCCTTACTATCTATTCTAATATAAAAGGAAAAGATTTTTCAAAAATAGTGCCCCCACCCAAAAACATCAAACATCAATGAAAAAATTGTTTATTTGTCGAAATAATAAAAAGGAAATACTCCGTACTTATTTCTTTCAATATACGAAGTACGAAGTATAACGTAACAATGTAGAAATAAAGATATTGCGTGAATGGATTTTTGTCAGATGACTGTGTGAGAAAACATATTACATACACATTTATAACTTCCATAATATAATACAAATCAAAATTATGGACCAAATTTTATGAGATGATGTATTTTGGGACGAAGGTAATATATTTTACTCAATTCATATGCTCTTGGTGTATGAGTTTTAGGGATAAAAAAATTGAAAGATGTAAAAAAGTTTTTCGACCGAAGTAACTATGCTTAACATGTCACATTTTCATAAACAACCTTTATTTTAATCGTATTTATGTAATCATTTAAAAAAGTTATATACATATATGCCTAAAAGCAATTATATGTATAAATACTTATTTGAAGATTTTCTCATAAATTTATATTTAAGTATAGTTTAGGAAAGACAACACATTTTCACATATCTGCATACCCCCTGATTTGTCAGGTTACATCAGTAATTCGTCTAAATAATGCAATTCGTATAAATAAAGACATAACACATTTTCACATATCTGCATACCCCCTGATTTGTCAGGTTACATCAGCAATTCGTCTAAATAATGCAATTCGTATAGATAAAGACATAACACATTTTCACATATCTGCACACCCCTGATTTGCTATGTTACATCAGCAATTCGTCTAAATAATGCAATTCGTAGAGATAAAGACATAACACATTTTCACATATCTGCACACCCCCTGATTTGCTATGTTACATCAGCAATTCGTCTAAATAATGCAATTCGTATAAATAAAGACATAACACATTTTCACATATCTGCACCCCCCTTATTTGCCAGGTTACATCAACAATTCGTCTAAATAATGCAATTCGTATAGATAAAGACAAAACACATTTTCACATTTCTGCACACCCCCTGATTTGCCATGTTACATCAGCAATTCGTCTACATAATGCAATTCGTATAGATAAAGACATAACACATTTTCACATATGTGCACACCCCCTGATTTGCCAGGTTACATCAGCAATTCGTCTAAATAATGCAATTTGTATGTGATGTAATGTCACCATATTATTTAGTAATTATAAAAAGGAAAAATTGAAAATAATAATCCCAACTATTGTCGGTCCGCTAACAATAATCCCAACTATTGATTATTTTTGTATAATCCCAACTATATGGACCATGCGCCAATAATGGTCCATGACCAAATATTACCTTCTATAAAAGTAAATTTTAAATAGAAATTAAACAGTTGAGATTATTTATAGAGATTACTTGTTATATCTCTTCTCATCCACTTCAGAAAGTACATGAATTTATTTACAGGGACTGTTATTGGCGGAAGGACCCTAAAGTTGGGATTATTCTAAAATAATCTATAGTTGGGATTATTATAAGCGGACCGCCAATAGTTGGGATTATTACCATCAATTTTTCCTTATAAAAATTTATACCTTCAGTTAACATATATAGACCTTTGATTTGAAAATGAAAAAATCTTTGTCAAAAATTTACTTGAATGAAGGATTTTAATAAGGGAAAATTTTCAAATATGAGTGAATAAGTTTGAGAATTCCAAAATAGATTGCCATGTTTTTTTATGGACAAAATAGGCGTAATTAATGTCAAGTTTGAAAAATATTGTCATGCTTAAGGTCCAATTTTGGAATACATGAAACTTTTTTTGTTCTATTTAGTGTAATTTTCCTTTTAACAAGGGTTAATGCTAGACAGAATGTACAAAGAAGTGTTTCATAAAATTTGCCATGAAATGTAATTTGTTTTCAAATGATGTTTATATTGCGTGTTACTTATTATTTTGTGGGCTATAAAAAATAATGTACTACTCTGTAATCATTAGTAAATTGTATTTTATATGTTTCATTTACGTCAAGTTTTATTATTGTATGGAGTATAATTCTAAACAATTCAATTAAAATTACAAGTTTGTTTATTTTTAATTAAAATGTTGGCTAATGTTAATTACCCGCGAAATTTCACCAATCGTGCATCGCACAGGTATTGATGAAGAAGAAGGAACCACTGACAAGACTCATAATGTTGTATTCTAAAAGTGTTCAACAATATTTAGGGTTACATGAAATGTATATTTACAATGTTATGATTTATAAGTATTTGTTGGATGTTTTGATCTTTTAAGTAATGTTTAGTGCTCTCTTTTTAACAATATATATTGTAAGTGTGTTTTGTTTATTGCTTGAACTTATATCAATATTCCATGAAGATAGATGTTCTCATCAATTGATAGTGTAATTTGAAGTAGTGAGCACAAATAAATTTGAAAGAAAATTCTGCACCGGAAGAGAGAAGCATGTTACTATAAACAGTAGTCACTGCACCGGAAGTCGCAGAGGCGAAGAAGTTGACTTTGGGTTTAGGAAGCGATCTGCAGAAACGGACGTCAGGGAAAGAGAATGCATATCAGCGAGAACGAGGGGATAGAGAATAAATGTTTCGTGGTGACCGGCGGGCTGGGCTTCGTCGGCGCCACCCTCTGCCTAGAGCTGGTCCGAAGGGGCGCCCGTCTCGTCAAGGCCTTTGATCTTCGAACCCAGTCTCCTTGGTCCGATCACCTCCGCCAAAAAGGCGTCATTTGCATCCAAGGTCCCTTCTTTTCTGGAATTGTGAATTTCTTTCAAATGCTGTGATTGCAGTTTTTGTTTTTGCTTTGATATTGTCCTTTAAATTAAAGTGTTTTTTTTTTACTTACTAAACGCTACTCACCTTTAGCTGATAATTTTTCTACTAATATAAATGAAAATGGTATCTAATGGTCAAATTGATGCCAATTTCCAACGCTGTAATCAGTGGCGGACCCAGAAAGTCGGAGGCACGGGTCCCTACCCTTGCGTATCTCTAATTAATAAAAAACTATTAAAAAAATACGGAGTATTAAAGAAGTTAGCATAGTACTTCATAGTTAACTTACATCATCAAAACATTAAAATATTACTCCCTCCGGTCCTTAATTAACTTTACACTTTTCTTTTTAGACCATCCCATATTAAACTTCACACTTCTTTTTCTACAGCAAAACAGTGCAAAACAGTGCACTTTACATTAAAATTTCTTAATCTGTGTGAAGTCAAAGTGTCAAGTTAATTAAGAACCAGAGGGAGCATAAAGCAAAAAATTACAGGATCAGCTTCCAAAGATACAAAATCAACATGTTGTTCAGGTAGATTATCAGTTAAATTAGCTGCACTTTCAGCAATTACCTGATCCAATTCTTCATTTACTAATAACAAATCATTTGAATGAATATCTGAACTACTATCGAACTCTGAATTTCCTTAACTCTCAGTACAATACCGAAATATCTTCTCATCCTAATTCATATAATATTGAAAATAACGTTTATAAATACAAATATACTTCCCCTGCTCCCCTTTAATTGCAACAGTCAACATTTCACGTTTGTCAACACACAAGTTTGACCATTAATATTTTTTATTCCTTATTAGTAAAAAAATTAAAAAAATTATATTTTGAAATTTTAGAATGAGAAGAATTTAACAATATTTTTAAAAAATTCAGTTTATAGTACATTAATAAATGAAATATAGTCAAAGTAGAATATATGAACAGTGCAAAAAGTTCAATGTTGCAACTAAAAGAGAACAAAGGTAGTACGTAGTATTAATTTAATCTTAACATTTAATGAAAGCTTTTTAATTAAACCCAAACAAAAGATATGCAAATTAAAAAAGAAACAATAAAAAAAATGGGAGGTAAAGGCAAGTAGAAGCAACTGGGGATCGAACTTGGAACCTCACGTAAGGTTGAAAGCCCTAAACCCGCAATTCCTACCATTCGACTACTACAATCTTTTGGCTATCTGGTCGTTGTTATTGTATATATACATTTCCTAATTAATTTTATATAATATATATAATATATAGGTTATTTTTTCGAAGTCCACGGGGTCCCGGGACCCCGTGGGACCCTTAGTGGGTCCGCCTCTGGCTGTAATGGATTTTAGCTGCGTTTTAATGGATTTTAGTTGTATTCTGAACAAGGTACTTATGATTTTTTTAATCTGACTGAAATTTTCTAGTCTCGTTTGGTCTATTTAAGTGTAGTCTAGGAAATGTCTTTATTTTATAATAATTGTACAAGTCTGGTCTAATACTTTAAATCGTTCAAATGAAAACATCCTTATTAAATGTAAGAGGAATGTTCAGGTCCGAACATTCCTGGTCCGAACATCGTCCGAACATGGACGTTTGGGGCCCTTCCCGGTGGAATTTTTTCATGAAATTTTTTTAGCATGTTCCTCATCAAGTCTAGTTTGTCCATACCAAATTTCAGCTCAAAGTTCGATCGGGAAGGCATCCAAATCATTTTTTGAAGTTGACTGCGTCAAAATATACATATAAAAACGCAGTCAACTTTAAAAAATGATTTGAATGCCTTCCCGATCGAATTTTGAGCTGAAATTTGATATGGACAAACTAGACTTGATGAGGAACATGCTCAAAAAATTTCATCAAAAAATTCCACCGGGAAGGACCCCAAACGAGGATGTTCGGACGGAGGGTCCTGTCCGAACGTGGGAACCTGATCATTCTTGTTAAATGTAATACGGGAACTGGGAACTATGCCACATTTCAATATTTTACCTTGTGTAGTACTCCATCTCTGATTAAACTTCAAGTTTACTCTTTATGCTGCCAAACTAAGAAAATTTACCTCTAATTTTATGTACCAAAATTTTGTTATATTCAAATTCAGCTTTTAAAATATGTCAACGTTATTGGTAGACCAAATTAACATAGTAAGTATAGTAAGCCGAAAGTGATATTCTTATTTCTTAGGAATGGAGGCAGAATTATACTTTTTGAGCAATTACATTTTTTGCTATTACACTTAAGAACTCAGAACTGCATTCCATCTTTTAATGACTAAGATATAAGAAAGCAAGCAACTCTTTAGCTTAAATGAATCCCATCATTTAAATAGGACTATATAGGCAACGAGCATATCTAATATGTCCAAGTGTCACCTACTTTTTTAGGAGATGTTACAAGAAAAAAGGAGGTTGAGAAGGCATTACGTGGGGCTGATTGTGTATTCCATTTGGCTTCATATGGTATGTCTGGGAAAGAAATGCTCCAATACAGCCGTGTAGATGAGGTTAATATAAATGGGACATGTCATATACTTGATGCTTGCATTGATCATCACATTGGCCGGCTGGTCTATGTGAGTACATATAATGTTGTTTTCGGTGGAAAGGAGATTGTCAATGGCAATGAAAGACTGCCTCACTTTCCCATGGAAGATCACGTTGATCCTTATGGCCGCAGTAAAGCAATTGCTGAACAGTTAGTTCTCAAGTATAATGGTCGCTCTTTCAGGTATGTAATTTTGACACTAGAATACCAACACAGTTATTAATTTTCATAATTAATCTTTTTCCCGATGAATGGGATTTACTCTATCCTTAAATTTTTAGAGTAGGTGGTTATGCAAGCTCTTTTTCTAGTATGCATAATGCAGAAGCAGAATAATGTGTTAATTAATCTTTTTTACCTTTATAACAAAAGACTGTCATGGTTCGGACATCCCAATCAAGAAAGGGGAAAATTTGACTTTGCCCCCCATATTTTGGGCAATATTGAACTTTTCCCCCCATTTTCAGAAAAAATAATGTTTGCACCCCCATTCTATTAAAAAATTATTTGACTTTGCACCCCATTCCTGCACAAATTTTTGACTGGTGGGATGCATGTATTATTTTTTCTGGAAATGGGGTACAAAGTTAGATTTCCCCATCAAAAAACTAGGGGGCTGTTATGTAAGATTAATTTTAGCCAAATAAGTGTGTCAAGCTTTTAATTCTGATTGATCTGCTAATTATGCTGATGTGCAGAATCCTTATAGTTAGGGCCCATTTACTATGGGTTATTTGGCTGACGAGCACTTTCGGTAAGGAAAATGATTTGCTAATATCAATTCTATTCAAATAATTAAGGAAAAAGTTATCTAGTCTACTTATTATATATTTATGTTGATACACAAAATAAGCAAAATAGCTGAGATTATGGCTACCAAATGGAGCATAAACTGTAACTGACTATTAATCTGAGCCTAGATTAGAAGAGACATAAATTTAAAACCTTCATGAGCTGTGCCACTCCTTTAGTTGAAGTATGGAAATCTTAAATTGAAAACCTATTATAATTGTAATTACTATGTAATGCTTCATATTTGATTGTTCTATAGCAAACTAGCACTTTCCGACTAGCTCTTTTTTAAAATTCTTAATACTTCTTTACAAGTGATTCCTGTTTCTATCATTAAGAAAGTTTAGCTTTTCAGTCTACAGTATTTAGTTGTGGACAATTTGACACAGCTCTTTGAACTGTTAACCAAAAAAATTGATGAAAATTAAATTTTCACTCTTAATCTTTTGCACAGTAAAGAGACTCAGAAATGTCTGTACACTTGTGCCATTCGTCCCGCTGCTATCTATGGACCTGGTGAAGAAAGGCACCTCCCAAGGATCATCAGTTTTGCAAAATTAGGCCTGATCCCTTTTAAGATAGGCTCACCAGATGTGAAAATGGATTGGGTTTATGTAGATAATCTTGTTTTGGCCCTTCTGTTGGCTAGTATTGGACTATTGGATGACATCCCCGGGAAAGAAGGGATACCAGTTGCTGCCGGTAAAGCTTACTTCATATCAGATGGTATCTTACTCTTGACTTTTATTCTTTCTCTACACTCTTAGGGTATTTTTGGATCATGGAAGTTTGTAGAGAAAGGTTTAGAAAAAGGAAAAATTCCTTAACTATTACAGAATGAATACCTAATGGACAAAAATCTTAAATATCAGTGCACTTGTTAACAGGAAACTAGTTTTGTTTGCGAGACTTATGTCCTAAATTTTAAAATTAGCAATTTGTGTAATGTATATACATTAAGTTATAAATCCCTTAAAAAACCGAGGGAAATGGTTTTTAGTTTTGGTTTTATCTTGGAAAACAAAACTTGATTGGAACTTTTTAAGGTTTAACATTTTTCTAGATTTCCCGATCTTTGTACAATTTTCATTCTTTCCAATTCTATTTTTTTAAATTTATTTTCCTAGCATTTTCTAGGCTCCGAACAGACCATTTGAAGAAGGCAATGCGCTATATGTAGTTAGACCTCACATCTTCTATGAATGCTTGCTTAAATCAGTTGTGGTATATCATAACAATTTGCTTTCTTTGTTGTCTGCAGGGTCTCCCGTTAATAGTTTTGAGTTTCTTCGCCCTTTACTGAAAAGCCTGGATTATGAACTACCAGAAAGGTCACTGCCTGTCCCCCAAGCTCTTCTTCTAGGAAACTTTTTTTGGGGTTTGTACTCTTTCATGCACCCTTGGCTAAACAAGAGGTGGCTTCCTCAACCCTTCATTCTTCCTACTGAGGTGCACAAGGTTTGTGTTTGATTCCTGCTTCGTGTACTCTTTGGGAATTAACTGAACGTATTTGAATTTTGCAATTCTTTATGGTTGTCCTGAGTCCTAATCAAGCACCCATTTGGTAAGATTTATTTGGCTTATGGCTGATGAATTTTCCTAAAGTTATAGTGTTGCGTGTTAGGCAATACCGCAATAGCCTTTCAACCAAAAAAGGTAACAGCTACATTGCTTATAAGAATGAGACTGATTTCTGAATGGTTGCTCTATGCTTCTATTATGGAACTGTGTATTAAATGGCCGTTTGGTAAGAGTCATTTGGCTGCAATGGCTGCTAGATATTCTGAAAGAAAATGTGTTTGGGAATAACCATTTCATCCAAATAAGTACTCCCTCCGTCCCGGCTTAAGCTTTTCATTTGCATCTTTTGGACGTCCTAGCTAAAGGTTTTCATTTCTACTTTAGGAAATAATAAGCACTCTTAAATGACAATATAACCAGGAAATATTAAAAATAATACACTTATAACATCACAGTTATCATCAATGATCTCATTATATCATTTACCATCAAAATTAGTTCTCAATATATACTCGAATAACCCTATTAAATTATTATCTAAATAGTCGTGCCATTTTTCAATGAGAAGTTTAAGCTGAGACGGAGGTAGTGTCATAATATACTTATTTTGCTTATAAGCCAGATAAGAGGTTTCCGAACGGAGCCTAAGACTGCTTATGGGGGGGTCCACGTTTCTGAAACTTATAGGAAACCTTTAGGCTCAGTCTGGACCCCATAAAATGCTGGGGAAAGAAAACAGGGAGTGAAGTGTGAAGTATTAGGAAAATTTGGAAGCAAAAACACGTTGAAGAAATAAAACAGTTGGTTAAAGCTCAATACTATTTTTAATATATTCGAATTCATTTGTACTAATTACAGACATTAACAATCTAAATAAATGTATAAAATTACTACATATAATATTAATCATTTGTCATTCTCATATGTAATTTTCACAGTAAATCCAAACATAAGAAGTACTTGCCTTTGAATGTTCCTTTCTTAATTTCTTCTCCTAAAATTTTCCAGGATTCAAACATAGCCTTGGGAAACTCAAGGAAACCTTTAATACTCATATTTTTCATTTCTAAATGTTGTTTCCCCAAGTGTTTCACATTTCTTGTGGCAGGTTGGTGTCACACATTACTTTTCCTATATAAAAGCCAAAGAGGAGCTTGGTTACATCCCAATGGTGACCCCTAAGGACGGTATGGCTGCCACGATATCATATTGGAAAGAGCAAAAAAGGAGGAGTCTAGACGGGCCAACGCTACTGACATGGGCTCTAGTTTTGGGTGGAATGGTTGCCCTATTTGGTGCTGCTTTCCTGCCAGACTTTGGGCCCATTCCACTCATAAGAGGGATCGGGCTTTTCGTGTTTCGCTCGGTTTGGGCATTACGGGTATTGTTCGTTGTGTCTGTGGTGTTACACATCGGGGAGGCTATGTATGCATGGCACCTTGCAAAGAAAGTGGATGCCTCTAATTCCCGCGGTTGGTTCTGGCAGACCTTTGCTTTGGGATTTTTTTCGTTACGTCTCTTGAAGAAGAGAGCCAAAGAGTGAGCATATTGGATTAATTAATTGATTAATTTCCTAACGGTCGCATCATCATGTTATTATGTTATGTATGTATATATGTATTATATGCACTCTACAGCCTACAGTAACGGGAACTGATTTGGCTTTTTAGATCGGACCAGAGATCCCATTTTCTTCAATAATGGATGTGTTACAAAAATAATCAGTACACATTTTTTATATGATAAAAGACTTAATTAAATACAGAAATATGTGAAATGCGAATAAGTATTTAGTTTGTTGTCCCAAATTTGATCACAAGTTCTAAGATTAAACACAGAGTTGGTCATTCATAAAAACGTAAGTGACTCAATATAATCACCTAACAAACAAACACAAGTCTATACACTCTCTAGCAACAAATTTAGTCATTCACCTCTAACCTGAGCCTACCTAACTATCACAAAGAAAAACATCCAGACGTTCGGACCAAAAACTCCAACAACGTTAACAAAATAAAAAGACGGGTTAGAATAAAAGAAACTAATAAAGTAAACATAAAGATGAATTGAAAGTGGAGCCTTCAAACTCATAGTGGAGCCTTCAAAGTCATCATCTCTTTTCATAATTGTCGACGTTTTGGATCTCCCACTTAAGACTCTCTCAAGTCATCATAACCCCCCTCATTGGTGTTTGATATAGTACCTACAATCTTTGAGGACTCTCCGCCTCATGCTCATGCCTGGAACTCTAACCTATAATCGTCCTTCACATTGACATGCCCACCTACGAGTTGCTCTATCCTCCCATTTTGAATTTGTGCTCCGAAGTAAGCCATTTGTTACTTCCATTAGTGGTATTTTGGGTTGTAGTCGGCTAGTCACTCTCTGTTCAGTTTCGTTACTTTCGTAGAATACTTTGTACTGTTATGTCTTCCTCATTATCAAGTATTCTGTAGAAGTTGTTGTTAAACTTAGTATATCGTTTGATTGTCGTTGAGATTTGAATTAACAATATTTTATACAAGTTCTAGATTTAGATAGAGACATGAGCTAGTCAGATAAAACGGGTAGTGTGTGTCTGATTAGAATCAATGGAATCCTCTACAATAGAAGACTATATAATTATACGGAGTATATAGAAAAGACCTCAAGGGCTTAGACAATGCCATGGCCTGAGACTAATCTAACAGACTAAGTCCAAGATAGTATATATCCATCAGTACTCTTTTTAAGAGTTTCCCAATATCAACTTGAATCCGCAAGTAAGCCATCCATAAACTCTCAAATTGATTATCATCTATTTTAATAAAATTTTCTAAAAGTATTCCCAACTCTCTTAGTCACTTTTTGTGTAGAAAAACTCAATAGCAATTTGTGGACTTGATTGCAAAATTCCGACTAATGTAGTGGAGCTTTAAATGGGATGTCCGCTTTTAGTAAACAAAAGAAAAACATCCAACCCCGTACTCTAGCGCACGTCAATGTGATAGTTAGGTAGGCTCAGGTTAGAGCTGTAAACAAAAAGATTTTCTTCAAACAATCAAGGACCGTACTATAGCGCACGTCTCATATGAGTTTTATGATATGATAAAAAGTAAACGAATACTTCTCAAAAATTGATGAAAACTCATTTGCTACAACACCAGATAGAAGGCAAAACCTCTTTAAATATTGTGACGGAAGGAGTATTTAGAAACTAGTTTAAAAAACTTTATTGGATCTTAAAATAAATTTATTTAAGCCTTAAAAAGAATACCCAAATTAAAGAATAAAAAACGGAGTAATAAAAAAAGGGATTAAATATGGTTTTAGTCCCTGCAAATATGACACACTTTGTTTTAGGTCCCTGCAAATTTTCTTTGTTTTTCATCCCTGTAATAGGGCTTACTTTGGTTTTAGTCCATCTTTAACTCTTAAACAACTCTACTTAGAACTTTTTTATTATCAGTTGCATAAATCTATTAGAAACATTTAAATTTATCAGTTTAAAATTTTTTTGAGGCTAATAAGAGAGTTAAAACAATATTAAAACTAATTATTTTCATTTTTAAAATATGTATTAAAAACCTTTTAAAAATGAAATTAAATATTTTTGATTGGCATGACAAAGAATTAAAGAAGTCGGGATTATTTCGTTGTCAAACGGAGGTTGTTGTCCGTAGTCATGAACTAAAAGGAAAATCAACATAAATTTCAGGGATGAAAAACAAAGAAAATACTCCCTCCGTCCCTTATAACTTTGCCAACTTTCCTTTTTTGGTTGTCCCAAAAACTTTGTCACTTTCCCTTTTAATCAATCAATTTGTGGCTCATGTTATTTCACACAATTTTTACTTTATTATTCTACGTGCCGGTCAAACTTGGCAATCCTTCTAGGGACGGAAGGAGTATTTTGCAGGTACCTAAAACAAAGTGTGCTATATTTGCCAGGACTAAAAACATATTTAAACCGAAAAAAAAAGAGTGGAGAACAATGTTTTGTCAAGCTGAACGGATGAAAATGGAGCTTGCTCTTATATCATCTCTGCGTTCACAGTGTGGATTGCTTTTTCCTCACTCCGCCACGCCCATCTCGGCCTCTGCCACCCATCTCCACCTCAAAGGTTTCACCTTTCTCCCTTCTTGGCCAGTTGGCCTTCTAATTGTTGTTTTCTTCTTCCATTTTTTGCAGCTTCTCAGTTTTCTGATCTAACTTTATGCCTCCATGTACATTAACTTCCACAGAGCTTAGGAACAACAGAAATTCGTACATTTACTGCACTAAGAACCCCGGGTGTGAAGGTGATCAGAGGTGTGGTTTTATATAAAGGAGTTCGCTTACTTCTTTGTTAATATATTTCATTTTGGTTGTTCCACTACATAAAGTTGCAGGGGTAATCAATAGTGTCGAGATAAATTCTGATAAATAAATATGAAAAGTAGGAAATGCCGGAAAGGGAAGATGATAAATGAAGGGGGGAAGTTGCATCAGAAGTTTTATTGAATATAAAAAAATCAAATTTTCAATACAACTTTGGTACATAATATTAAGGAGTATAAGTTATGAATGCTATGCTATTTCTTTCCTAAAATGGAAGTATCAGAATAATTTTCACTTCCTCCTGTCTGTCTCAATTACTCTTTCCAAACAATTTGATGTCCCTACATATGCCTGATTTTTGGTTGACCTTTCTCATGTGAAGATCTTCTAGATTGCATGGGCTGGATGACTTCCTTGGCCCTTGTGCAGAATTCACTTTAATTATAATTTTAATTTCAATTAAATTCTAAATAGGGAGAAGAATGGGAGCCTTCGCGCACAGGTTAAGGTGTTTCTGTGTGACTGTGAAGTTAGGGTTCAAGTCTGAGTAGCCTCTTGTCAAAATTTGACATGGAAAGACTTGCTCCTTATTCATCCTTGCGGTGGAACCCTTCCCTGGATGCTCGCCTTACTGGGGTGCCTAGCCTTTTTCTAAATAGGGAGAAGTTAACTTTTTCATCAATTAAACTAAAGAATCCGCAATGACTAATGAATAGAGAATGAGAGGGGAGGGAGTATTATATAGTGGTTTATTGCAACAAAACCATGGTAACTCAATATTTTTCTTGTTAGGGTGAGAGAGCAATCATTGAGCAAAAGGAGAGATCTTTTGCTTCAAGCAGCTACCTTTCTTGTTGCATCCTCTTCCCTTTCTGCATTTAATACTTTAGTTGCACGTGCTCAAAATGGTATTGTCTCTACTTGATGTTCTGGCCCCTTTTATCTAAATATAATTACGTTATTTTAATGAACTAATATAAGTTGGAAATTTCTCCACTCTCCAGAGGCAGTGACAGAATTTCGTGTATATACCGATGATGTAAACAAGTTTAAGATATCCATTCCAAGCGGTATGTTTTTAGCCTTTTTTTTAGTTCAAACGTGTGATTCATTGTTTTACTGATAGTGGAAAGGAGATCATAATATGCTAGAATAGTGAAACAATGAGGAGATTAAATTTGGTAGGAAGAGGGGATTATCTAGAACCATACATGCTCAATGTGGACCTCTGTTCTAAAACTCATTAGGCGCTAATCGGGTGGCTGAGGGATCGCCAACGTCTAGGCACCGATTACGACGATTATTTGGCTGACTAGGCAGCCTAGCGCGTAGACGCCGATTAATCGGACCGGCTGGGCCGATTTTAGAACAATGATGTGGAAATAATGTATATATAGATTAGGGGAAGGAGTTAAGAGGGGCTTGATATCGTGTCAGTTTGGATGGAAGGTTTTTGAGGACTACGTCTATATCTTGGGTACATGTTTGACATTTATAAAAAGAAAAAAAAGGATGGATGGAATAACTATGAACTTCAACTACTACGTTCTTCTTTAGAAACACTATTTATCAAGATACAAACTGAGGCCTCTAAAGCCTTACCCTTAAAAAGACCTCCATCCAAACTGGTCCTTAATTTTTGGAATCACAGAGTTCGCATTTTGGGAATATCAACGCCATTGCTTTTGAAAATACAATGGAACTATTTAAGAAAAATACAATGGAACTAATTATTCATCACTTTAGCTTAGGTTTTATATGATTGATTCTCTGAGATATTCATCACTGTCCTATACCGGAGTAAAGGAATTGTAAAGTGAGAAAAGGAATTGTGTCATGCAGATTGGGAAATTGGGTCAGGAGAGGGTGATGGGGTGAGGTCACTCATTGCCTTCTATCCTCAAGAACCTTCTTCAAGCTCAAATGGTATGCTTTTGGGCATTTATTTACAGGAAAAAATAATGACAATCATCCCAGTGTTATTTTTAAATTATCCCAATCATTGTGTCATGTTCCCAAAATACCCTCAAGTCAATGTGAACAACATAGCCTCAGGCAGTCAAGCTAACTCCAGTGTGAGCCAATATTATCATTTATATTCTGTTCAAATAAGAAGATCATTTTGGGAAGTTTGACTTAATAATTGGAACTATTTGGAGCAGATTGGGTGTAGTTAATCTTCCCTGGCTCCCTGCTTTTTTCATTTGAAGCTTATTTTTTGTGAGCTTTAAGCTTTTCATATGTTCTGCTGCCATCAGTGAGCATAATGATCACAACTCTTGGTGCTGACTTCACCACATTGGGATCCTTTGGAAGAGTGGATGCTTTTGCAGATAATCTGGTGAAAACTTTTTGTTACTACCTATTAGGAAAAAGTGGTAAACCACACTTGGCTTTTAGTCCTCTCAATTGGTATACAAACAGGTTAGTGGATTGGACAGAAGCTGGAAACGACCTCCAGGAGTAAAAGCAAAGCTCATAGATTGCAAATCTGCTAATGGTAAATATCAGTTCTATTTTTTTCCCAAGTATGCTAGGATCCTAGTTATGAAAATTTAGTCATAAAAATCTCATTTTGAATTATTTCTACCTTCTGGAGTATTGAGTTTGAAACTCACAAGTGGTGCACTATGATGATGCACAATGATCAAAGTTGGTATATAAATTCAAAAATTAAAATAGAATTAAGTTGACCTCTGCATGAATAACAAGACTATGCTGACTATTTAGGGAAGGAGAGAATGTCACAGACATCTATGGGATAAATAACGTGAATGGTACCATAACTAGTGATATTCATGAATTTTGTTAACACTCAACTAGTGAAGACATTATCAACTTGTGAGTTGTGACGAGATTAATTAATTAATTAAAGATATTTTTATACAAATGCAGCTAAAATACAAGCTATCAATCATACTATTTCCCCTGAAATTCAAATTCAAGTTGTATCATCCCGATTCATGAATAGAATACTTATTGCCTTCGTTCAATGTTTTTTCACAACAATACAATCACGAGTTGTATGAAATGAGATTTTTTTCATAAAAACAAACTATCATCTTTCAGGGTTGTATTACATTGATTACACGCTGCAAAATCCCGGAGAAAGCATGCGGCATCTATCCACAGTTCTTGGAATAGCAAACAATGGTTTATACAACCGATTGTATACTATTACTGGACAGGTATTATTAATTGATTACAAGAGGGAAGAGACCATAGTGGCATACTTGGGAGAAAAAAAATAACATACACTTATCTTTAAATTCCTGAAGGGGAGTTGTGTACACATGTTGACTAGTTTTATTTGGTTTCTGCACCATACAGTGTGTAGATGATGAGTCAGAGAAATACTGTGCCAAAGTTGAGAAGGTAAACGGCAGCCCCCCCCCCCCCCCCGCCCTCCATATTTTTAACAGTCACAAGTCATTCATCCTTTTTAAAATGCAGGCAGTGGCATCTTTCAGGTTCATCTAAGCAATGGGCAAAGCAAATGTTCTATCACTAAAAGCTATTGCAGAGACACTTAGATGCCTAATTGGAAACACTCTTCAAATAATATAATGTTACATTACATTCTCCTAACAGTATGAGGTGAGCAAACCAAAAACACATGCCCTAATCTTCTCGGGATGGATGGTAGTATGGTACATTGCCTCCTACAAAAATGGTCTACACAAGATTTATATGGGAGCAAGAGAAACCAACTTTCTTAAACTAAGGCTTGAGAAATTAGAACACAGTCAATCAGCAAGTTCTAAGATCTGACTTGCTAGCACCAAGGGAAAATGGTGTTGAGCGTTATATAACATTACTCTATCTTGTTATTCACTCATTGCTAGTTATGCCCCAGCTTTTTCAGAAGCAACTTTGTTATTAGCATTATTATTCAACATCAAATTAAGCTGATCTGCAAAGAGCTGATTCTGGAGTTGTTGCACCAAGTGTAACTCCCTTTCTGTGTGTAATTCAATGTCCTCAAAATGTGCTATCTTTTCTTCAATCTCTTTTATCTGCAATTTTGTACAGGTCATTTATGTTAGAAAGATATCTACGACCAATAATTTGCTTGTATTGCGAATTTTGACTAAAAAATACTTGTATGTCTCGATGTGTTTTAAATTCTCTGAAAATATATGCATTTCAAATAAATTAGAGGAAGTGAGTATAAATGTAATTTATCTTCATATGACATCCAAGTCAAAATTAACTTTTAGACGGCTTTTTTCATTCTTTCTTTCTGGCCAATGATGGTTTTGGGATAATTATATATGCGGAAATTACTCTAAATAGGAGTAAACACAGTGTGAAATTATAATATAGGTGAATTATATTCCCCCCTAAAGAGGAGTAATTATTACTATGCTTGGAATATGTTTGTCATAATAATGTCAATATAATTTCAAGATGACCGTAATTAACTCCTTTTTACAGGAAAAACACAACACTCTTATTTGGGAATTTCATATTGTTTTCATTTCTATTTGGGAAATTTACCTTATATTTGTGTGATAATCCAAAGAAAAGTGAGGGCACAAAATGGCAGCTCGTAAACCATAAATATATACTCTGTATAGTTTTAAAAGGTCTTCTTCAAATACATACCTGATCAGCAACTTGAGAAATTGCAGTCTCCACATTCAGTTCTTCTTTATCAAGTTGCAACTGTGCTTCACCAAGAGCTCCTTCAATTCTATGTATAGAATGGGAATCATTGGATGCTTCATCATCAGATTCTGCATTTAAGATTATGAAACAGCACCATCTGAGAGTGAGGGAAAAGAGACAAATATGCCTCAACCAGAGTTATTGGACGCACAGCATAGACAAAAGTATTTCTAACAAAACATGGAATTTCCACTTCGATGCCTATTTACATTTTTCCTTGGCTAGTGATAGCGCGGATTTAAGCACGCTATAACACTTTGAAAATATTGTTAATTATTAGCCACAACAAAAGGGGGATATTTAATCATCTCCGACAGTTCTGCAAGGCTTAATATGAAACTCTATTCCAACATCCCAGCATTCCTTTCTATTGATATTTTTCAAGAGGACTGCGAGTGTGAAAAAATTAATACATAAATAAATAAATAATGTGCATGTGAGTAGGAAAAACATACCTTTACTTTCTTCATTAGTAGGTAAAGATACTAGATGACTCTTAAATTTTCCCGATCCAAATTCAGATAAAGATTTTAAAGCAGCATGAGCTGCTACTTCCACAACCTCAGCTCCTGCTAAAGCTGAGAGAAAAGCTGCCTGTGGAAAAAAAGAGAATAACTAAAACCTTCAATTGAATATACAAAGCAGAATGCAATAGTTTCCCCTTTAGTTGTGCAATTAATCTACTCCCATAATAATCCATCCATGTTGGATGAAATTATCAACTAACTAGTACCACGCATTCATTCATGCAGTCCGTGCCATAGCCAGTTCTTTCAAAACATTGAATTTGAGTCGGGTCGGAAAAAAGTAATTCATTTAAGATTTTATAGTACAATTTTACTCTCTGTCTCATTTTGTCAGTCCGTGCATCTCGCAATCATTCTTACTTTAATAAATTAAATATCAACAACACGATTAGTGCCAAACCTCATGTCCCAAATTTATCAGGACATAGGTAACACGTCGGAAAGAGATTTTACAGAACCTGTGCTAGTGCACAGATTGGCCAACCCTAGCATTGCATATGCTTGCAGTAAGACTGTAAGAGTTAAATGGTTTTCTTATTGAATAAAAATAGTACAATCCTATATATTCTGATACGATTCTAGAGTATAATCAATGTTTAAGTTATTATGAGCTAAACATTTCATCACGAAAAAAGCATCATACATTATACACAAATATATGTATGACTGTATGTATGTGTGTATATGCATAGGACATGTTTACTTCATTGTCAATTATGTGATTAGGTTATAAAAACATATGAAGTAAACATCTTTCAGCGGATAAACTCCTGATTAGTAAGCATGGTCCACGCTTAACCCAGTGTTTAATAAATTGCCGCTACACCATGTTTTAATTAAGCAATGGGTTAAGCTATTCTATATTGACTAGAGTGCCCCTGCTTTTTCACGTATCAAATTCTTATTTCCATTTGTGTCCTATCGAACCCACCCATCATTTTTCATTCTTATCCGATAATCATGTTTCATTCTTATTGTATACAGTGAACTTCATCCAGTAAATTATATATTTCGTAGCCGAAATCTCAAGTATATTACACTTTAAAGAGAGATGAGCGCAAGATGAAGGAATATGAAGACATGGGGAAAATTTACAGATTAATCTTCTATACACAGGAAAAAGTTATGTAGATGTCAGAGAAGGGCGATGGTTTGCTATAGTAAAATAGAGGGTTGTTTTTGACATTTAGAATTAAATAGTACCCTAACATACGTATCGTCCTTTGAAGTAAGTACACGTTTACCAAGCATTGCTTATTAAGGATATGTTTATTAAAGCGGGCTTTAGCACAAACACAGCTTATTAACCTATGAAGTAAACATGTCCATAGTTTTTAATGTATAAGAAAATTCTAGGAACTTCAACTCTTCAAGGACACAGATAATTGCAATACAAAGAACCATGGTTTTAAAATGCGGTTGCGGCTATTGAGGTAGCTGTGATGCGTATTGCATCTGATACAGTTTGAATTAATTTTACATTCAAATGAATTAGGAAAAAAATATGTTAGTGTTGCGGTCCTGACTCCTGATGCGGCCCTTATGCGGGTACGCTACGGTTTTGACTGTTAATTAAAAAAAAAAACACCGCAATTGCGGTGTGACACGGTTGCGCTGCGGGCTGCAACCGCAATTTAAAGCCATGCAAAGAATCAAGGACTTTACCTGAGCCATTATAGGGTTGCTTGCATCAGCAAGGGGTGTTAGTTTCACCCTTTTGGCGGCAAATGGTTCACTATCCACTTCAGCAGATTCTGGAGGTCCAACAAACTGCTCGCCGAAAGGCAGCTTTACAAAGCGGGAAACACACTCTTTCTCACTCCTACCACCCACATGCCCTGCCACCTTCTTCCAGTCATCACGAAAATGCATGACAGCTTCTAGGAGGAGCAATGTCTCCTTCTCACTCCAATCTGTCTTTGCCTCTTCGTTAAGCTCAACTCTTTTAAAATCTGAAGAATGTAAGCCTACCCTGTAATTACCTCGTACATAGCATCTCGCACAAAGAATCATATCATACTGCATTTACCATAAATGATGAACAACCTCATTAGGTGTACTGTGTATAAGCTTCAAACAATTGAAAGAGAGGTCCATACTCCTTAAAAATCCAACTTGATGAATGAGGTGGTTGTTTTACCTTATCACAAGAAAAACAGGAAAAGCTGCAAGGAGACTTGCAGCCACTGCACAATCTCTTCTTGGGGACCGGAATATCCACTGAACTCGCATTGGCTTCTCCACCATGAGAAGAGGCCTTAGCATCTTTGTCTTCCCATTTAAGCTGATTCCTGCTAGAAGTTGAGCCTGTGTAATTAATCAAACCCCAGGTCTCTAGGAAATCAAAAACCCTTCTGATCGAGCCAACATCCCCAACTAGAGTCTTTCGGACCTCGGTAAAGTTGATTTTTCGGGTAGGGTTTTCCCTAAACCGACGAATAATGCTGTTTCTATAGTATTTGTAAACCATAGGATTTTTAGATGGGGATCTTCCATCGAAAAATTCAGGAAGGAACCTGATTTCTCCCTCATGAATTCTATTCCATGCAAACCACCCTGCCAAATGGGAAGGGGTTTCAGAGAGTATACACACACATATACGGAGTATAAGTAAACAAAATTAGATGAGCAGACTTACTGGAATAACTTGGTAAGTTGATGACGTCATTTTCCGGCAAGCGAGGAGTGATGTTGGCAGAGGTAGTGCCGGAGGTGATAGAGCGGATGGGGGCAGGGGTGGTTGGAATTGGGGAGGACTGCAGATGCGTTGGCGGTGGCAATAGCGGTGGGGGTGGCGTTGGATGTTGCGGTGGCGGTGGAGGTTGTGGCGGCGTTTTATCCTGTGGTGGTGGTTGAGATACGGGATCGGTGTTGGCCGCTGGTGGGATGGCGGCGTCGCCGGTGGACATTTTTCTGGCGATGATAGATGACACTTTTTTGTTTGCTACCAAAGGTGTTGGGACACTTTTTGATATTGAATAGTGTAAAAGAAGCAGGATAGATGATGTAAAAGATGATGTAAAAGTATCAAAAGAAGATAAAAATTAGAAAAAGTAAAGGTTGTTGAGTATTTTTAAATTAAAAGAAAAACTTACGAAAATGAGAAAGTGTGGCAAATTTTTTAATACATCCAAAAAAAGAAAGAGTATAAAAATTCGGACAGAGTATACGATTCAGGATTCGAATTCATATAAGAGTTTTGAATTCGAAAAATTCAAATACAAATAAAAATTCTAAACTTGATTCGAATTGTTAACAAATACATATAAAAATATCAGTATATTCAATATGAATGTTAATCAAATTATTCGATTAATTATAGTGATAATATTAATAGTATTAAAAATTAATAACAATAGTAATAACATTATAATAACTTTTTAAAGCTAGTTATACTTTTAAATTGTAGCCCATATAGACATTTAGGTATACCAATTCTATGCCAATTTGTAATAAATTAGAAGCATCATACAGAGTTTTAAATGAAGCAAATAATATTAATTTGATTCGTTATTTGGATTAAAAAATATGACACAAATTTGAAATGTAGAATATAAATATGAATGCAAATCACAATTCTTGTTCAAACACCTTTCAAATACGATTACAAATAATTATGCATTTGATTCAAAGAATAATTAAATATATTAGTTTATACATATACAAAATCAACCTAGTATATGTGTGCGCATCAACTATCGACTATATGTGTGTGTGAATAGTATAAACTATATGTCTTATAGATTTTTTTATTAGCAACAGTGCTAAATATCTAATATTCAACTCGAGTCATTTGACTTTGATATATTCAATTGTCAACATGTTACACACATTATAAGTACAATTTCTAATTATGTGTATTGGTATTTATTTCAAAAACTTTGAAATAGATTTATGTTTATTAATCATTATATTGATTCACTTTATTATATTGTGCACAACCTACAACCCATTGAATTTTAAAGACAAATTTAATGTTAGAGATTAAATTATAAAAGCACATATGAAGTCATATCATGCATTTAGAACAGAAAAATATAGAAATAACTATCTTAAAATGATATTTGACTAATGTTTAACTTATGCTGAAATCGATTCGATATTCGTATATGATTCATTAAGCATTTGTATTGTTAAACAAATACGAATACAAACCGAAATTAATATCCGTTTTGTATTCCAATTCAGATTTGATCGAAAAAATTAAACAAATACAAATACAAAATCACACTATTCAACTCGATTCGGTTCATTTACAACCTTAATGTCCTTGAGTATGGTAGACCTGGGTATTCCATGAACCGTCGTGTTCAACAGCCCACTATAATGCAGACCCAACTCTACTAATCCGGAAACCCAGTTCTATTCCGTAACACTGTTGGACCAGATAGCTATTCTGCAGCACTACAGGACAAGATAGCTTATTAGCGTCAGTCAGTCGACGTCTCCATGTTCATTGTCAGGCGCAATGTTCACCGTCATAGTTCCCATAGTAGGAGCGTACGACAAACCAAGTCTCACAATAGTAGAATCCAACTAAACATCCAAAGCGAAGTATTATGGTCGTCTTCTCCAGTAATCCTCAATGTTGCAACACAATATAAGCTTGAACTATGAGCTAACAACAATTAAGAATCCAACTTCACCTTGACGTGTCACAAGATATTTGGTTTCAGAACCCACACCTAAGCTGATGAAAAGGAACCACAATATATTGTTACATATACTATCGTATTAAACTCAATGAGTATAATGCTTAGAAGAAATGGGCATGCACAAGTGTATATTTGAGCACACTACATATTTTAAATGAGCTTTTGAATTTTTCAATACTTCTTTTGTAAATTACGTATGCTCATTTGGTACTAGGAGAAGAGATCACAATACTCAATTGCATGCTTCTAATACTCAATTGAGGTTTGATACTCATCAATATACAAAGGTTACAATTTTCAATGAGAATATTCTGAATTTTCTAGCGACTCTCCATCTCCGATTATTTCTTTAACTCTTGAAAGGTAATGGTGATGTGGTGAAGATGTAATGTGGCGAAGATGAAAGATGATGAAAATGATGAAAATAGACCATGATGCCTATGGAAAATGGTGATAGTGAAAATAATGATGAAGAAGATAGTAAGTGTTGAGGTACATGTGGAGAGAAAAGAAAGTATAGAGAGATCGAATGAAAGGAGTGGGAACATGGATAAAAAGATGAATTTTTAGGGATTTAAATAGTGTGTCCAAAAGGTTTAAACATTTTGTATACACCAACTATTACTGGTAGATGAGGTTTAGGTAAACCTACGATTTTTTAGGTAAACATTGAAGGTGCATAATTTTTCTTTGTGAAGCAACAATAAATGCATCAAGCCTACTAGATGTCTTAGGGAGTGTTTGCGATTGCTTGTGCTTTTTAGAAGTGATTTTTTTAAGAGATTATTGGAAAAGTGATTTGTAGTAAAAGTTGATAGTGTTTGGGAATAGAAGTGATTATAATTAAAATGTAAAAGTTGGAGTGTTTGGGGAAAAAGTGATATTTAAAGTATTATATTATTAAAAGACAAAAATATCCTTGTGAATCCAATTATTTGCAGCCTCATATTTCTCTCATTGATCGGAAACCAGAGAAAGCGTATTTGCCGTCTCTGGACTTGCGCATTTGAAGGGGATTGAATTCTGGTGGCCACTGTATTGAAGTCATCTGCGGCGCCGATAGATTCGACGGGTGGCCCGGTCTCCCTTGGTCCAGCAGTTGCCTCCAGTCACATACACACACAAAATATCAATAAATTAATCAGCTTATCAGCCCATACTTCAATATGTATATATGTGAAAGAAGTCATGCGGATGTGACCATGGTTGGAGAAGGAAGAGGAAGACATTTTTTGTCATGGATGGAGTCTTGGAGAAGAAAGAGAACCCATGACTGATGCAGCAGAGGGATTCGGCGGATGGAGGGGTATTTTGGTTTTTTTATGAAATCTTTAGCCTAATAACTATTCCTAAAGTTGCAAATATTTACTAAAAACCCAAGAAGCAATTAAAAGCATCAATGTGGCTGCTTTGAGCTTTTGGCTTTAAGTTGCTTAAATTTAAGCTGAAATGTGCATATGCAAACACCCCTTTTGGCTTTTTTTATCATAAAAGCTAAGAAGTGCTTTTGAGTTGTGTTTGCAAACACACCCTTAGTGAAGTCATTCATCCAACTTCGACTTGGCTGTGATCGACTGTGTAGTGTTTTTTATGACTTCTTTTTTCATTCCCGATATTTATGTGCAATGATTTAAAGCACAACCGCCTCTTTATAGAACCACTGTTTGAGCCAAGACTTTGAGCAGGGAAATGAGACAAACTTTTCCACCTTTTAGGCTCTGTTTGCAAACCTAACTCGGAAGGGCTTTTAACTTTTCTAAATGATTTGGTAAAAAAGTGATTAGTAGTAAAAGTTGGTAATGTTTGTGAAAAAAATGATTTTTAAAAGTAAAAGTTGGTGGTGTTTGGTAAAATAAGTGCTTTTTGTGTAATAGAAAAAGTAAAAAGCAGATTCTAGCTTTTAGCTTTTAAGTAATTCATTTAAGTAAAAGTTGTCATTTGAAAACATCTTTTTTAGCTTTTTAAGCCAAAAGCTGGAAAGTGCTTTTTTAGTTGTGTTTGCAAACAGAGCCTTATAGATAGATGGATGTTGATATCAAGTCATAATAATACTCTAAGAGCATCCACAATGGTGGTGGCCGGTGGGTTTTGACCCCCACCTCTCTCTTCCACATCACTTTCCTCCAAAAACTTAATCCCTTTTAACCCCCACCTATCACAATTTCTCTCCACTATGGTGACCTAGGTCACATTTTAATTATTCCACATTTATTAATTTATTTAGGATATTTTCTTTTGGACTGTTTTTTCAGTCCCAGACCAGACTGGACCAAATCAGATTATTGAAGACCAGAATGAAGAATTCTTTGGAATGGGGGGCTGTTGGTGTAGTATGTAGGGGGAGAACAGTTTGGATCCATTTTCAGGAAGAAAAGTTTGCTAAAACAGATAAAATCAGATGCAAGAGGGAAAAAAGTGATAAATTTCGAAGTGACTAAACATATCCTTCATTGGTGTCTATTTATAGAGGAGGGAAAATATGATTTTTTGGTATAGTTTTTTTATAAAATAAATTAATTTAATGAATAAAATATTAAATTAAAAAGTTGGTGGGATTTGTGGCTAGAAAATTGATAGAAGAATTCCTCCACTCTTTCCTATGCTCTCCACTCGTACGCCACTTGGCTAAATGAAAAAAAAAATGTCAGATTCAATATGTGAGCTAGCAACTTGACGGATCAACTCTTGACCTACCATAGTGGAGGTCAACTCCCATCAACATTTTTTTGATCCCCAATTGACCTCCCATTGCTGATGCTCTAATGAAATACTCCGTACTGTATATTTGAATATGGTAAACATTTACCACCAATAAGTTGTAAGTTTTTTTTGTCCCCCAATAAGTTGTAAGTTATAATTTGTTGCATGCATGATGAACTTCAATGTGCTTGCTATGATTGACTTCCCATGAAACATAAAATACCTCATGAAATGATATATTTTAACGTGTAAGTGTGTAACCAGACATTTTTCCTGTTCAAGAGGGGCTCTGTTAGGTTTGTTTCGTTTGGGGGTTTTGGAGGTAAAAGAAGGGAAATATTGATTATCTATTTTACCAATTTATCTAAATTTGTTAGTTTTACACCACAAATAACCATATAGTTTTGTATCGTAAAACTGTAAAAGAGTGACTTTTATATTAAAATCGAGAACACGTACAAGACAGTCTTCAGACAGATTTTACTGATCCAATCGTGAACCCAAGAGATAATAGACATAGAGTCAGCTAAGGATGTTTTCTTTTGGAGTGTTTTCAATCCCAGACCAGACCAGACCAGATCAGACCAGACCAGATCAGACCAGATCAGACTTCCGT